TATGGTAAAAGGATACAACCCTGACGCACGCCCTTCCTGATTTTCAACCATGCAGTATCCCTCTGTTCTGTTTGGACAACAGCCTCCTGGTCTATGTACAGGTTCTTCATGAGTACAATCAAGTGTTGTGGAATTCCCATTCTTCTCAATGTTATCTACAATTTGTTATGATCCACATAATCAAATGCTTTTGCATGTTCAGTAACACACAAGTAAACATCTCTGTGGTATTCTTTGCTTTTAGCCAAGATCCATCTGACATCAGCTATGATATCTTGTTCCATGTCCTCTTCTGAATCTGGCTTGCTCCTCTGAAAGTTCTCTGTCAATATACTGCTGCAGCTGTTTTTGAATTATCTTTGGCAAGATTTACTTGCGTGCGATATTAATGATATTGTTCGATAATTTCCACATTCTGAGGGATCACCTTTCTTTAGAATGGGTACATATATGGATCTCTTCCAGTCAGCTGGCCAGGTAGCTGCCTTCCAAATCTCCTGGCATAACTGACAGAGTGCCTCCAGTGCGGCATCCATTTGTTGAAACATCTCACTGGGTATTCCGTAAATTCCTGGAGCCGTGTTCTTCGCCAATTCCTCTGCTCTTGGGAGCCCAGGCCTTGTTGGACAGAAGCCTCAGGACACAGTGATGCTGGCTGGCAAAGTGCGGCACACAGCACAGAGCTTGCCTGCGTGTGCTCTGACTTCCGGCCACACGCACACGTTTCCCTCTAAACAGCCACTAGGTGGCAGGCAAGCACCGCTGGAAAACCAGCGGGCACTGAGGAGCCAGAAAGCAGCTGATGGGAGAGCCCATGGTCCCTCCACCCTTTCCACAGGCTGCACAAGAAACCAACCAGTCTGGCAAGAGGCTTACTTTTTCTCCAGGCTGTCCATGTATTCCTTCTTCTTTCTCCTGCTTTCCTGGGCAGAAATCTGGGACAGAAGGGGAATAAACCGAAAGGATTAGTTTCCAGCGAGGGCGAGTGAACCACCTATATGCCAAAGGGACAGCAGAGGGCGCCAGCGCGGCCTCACAGCAACTCCGCGCGGGCACCCATTCCTCCCCGGGTCTGTGCTGCTGTGCCCTCACCACCTCTGCAAGGCAGGCAGCCCCCGACCGACGGCACACTGAGCTACGAGGAGCTGTACTGGGCTTTGTACAGCTTGGTGTCAGTGATGTGTGCTACGCACAGTGCTGCAGGGCGTGATTTCCTGATGCTTTCATTCTCAGGTGTTCCAAGATCGGAGTTATATGTACTGATAAAAGGCTATATACAGTAATGACAACTTTAAAAAGAGAAAGAGGGATTCGACTCACATTGGAACCGACTTACAGGACAGAATGCCGCTGTAA